TTTTTTTTTTTTTTTTTTTTTATTATATATAAACAAACGTTTACACTACTATGTAATTTTCTACATATTAATTTTACAATTGAGTGTCACAATTTGAATATTTTGAACAATTATGAACATTGTTAATTATAACAATGAATAAATAATACAAATAATGAAACAGTAGGCAAATAAATATAGTGCAGTTAAATCAAACAAGCTTGGCTCGGCAGGCTCGAGTTTGGCTCGAGCTCATGGCCTTAACGAGAGCCAAGCTCGAGGTCATTTAAAGCTCGTTTGATTATTGATAAGGCTCATTAAGGACGAGCTCGAGTTTGAGTTCTGGCTCGTTTATTTAAGGAGCCGAGCTTGACGTTGATGGAAATATGAGACCATCGATTACACTGAATTTATTACAACTATATGCACTTGTGCTGCATTTTAGTCGGCAGTTGGAATTCGAACCTCCGGTCGAGCTTCTTGGAATTATTTAGGCGCTTTAGGAGAAGGTAACTAAACTGAGCCGAGTTTTCTTTCATTTCTTCTGTTGAGTTTGTGGTGAATTGAGTTGAATTTAACTGGAAATTATTGAACCCACAGGTAGCTTTTCAGCTTTCAAATATGAAAGATAATTGATGACTATCACATCTTATGTGTAACTTTCACCATGAAAAGATGATTGATTTTCTTTTGCCTATTTTTTGCATTAGGTTTTACAATAACAACAATCCTTCTCAAAAAAATGTGATCTTAATTTGTATGCATATGCATGTCACATTGCATTTTGTCCACAGCATGAAAAACCTCATAATGTATTTTCTTTGGGACCCAAACCCAACTACTCACAAGACCTCATACCAACAGAAAGTAACACAATGTCTAAATTAACAATACACAAAACCTGAGCATCAAAGAGAAAAATCAACCGCTAAACGAACCGGACACAGAATCCGAGAGTGAAAGACTAATAATAATACCACAATATACATGATAATCCATTATTTCGTTTTTATTCGTTCTGGTGGCATACACAAATACTAAGAAGAGGCAACAAATACCAACAAATAAGAAATTCTTATCGACATCCTCACTAGGTCGAGAGTTTAGCAAGATACATATATAAGAGCTTATTCACGCTTTTTGTCTTTCAATGGCCCTCTAGGGATCTTGCTCAAGACTTTAGCATCAAAAACAGCATACTGTTTCTTGAGCTCGGCTAGTGCCTTCTCAGCATAGGAGTCCACCTGGTCTTCATACTTCTCGTAGAAAACAGGCACAGTGAATAGCAGCACAATACCTGTTTCATTAAGACCGATCGATAATGGCATTCACGCTGCAGAAGAAAAACACGAAGTAGGGAATTTAAACAATCTTTTTTATGAGAATTATCATTACTTGTGTAAAGCAGAGTCAAAAAGTCGCAGCAACTTCCCACGATTGACAATACCCACAAGCCAGCAATCACCTGCATTAAAAACGCATCCATAAATATCTTTACCTTCTAAAAGGTGCTACTGAGATATATAGCATCTGTTTGTTTATTAAAAAACCCAATTTATACTCAAAATCTAACTCAAGTTTAGCCGAACTCCACTATTCTCAATATTACCAATATAATTTAAATAATAATACTCAATCATCCTTACACATCACATCAACTTTAAATAATAATACTCAATCATCCTTACACATCACATCAACTTTAATCATCCTCACATAATTTAACTAACCATAACTTCACATCATCTCCCTCAAACTTTTACATTAAATCAACTTCAATTATTTTATTTTAAATATTTTTTTAATATAAATTCAAAATCTCGCTAACAACTAACCATACTATCTTGTTCAAAATTAACCATAGTTAACAAAAAAACCCATTTTGAAAATCACAAAAACTGACATAAAAATTGAAATAACGATTGAAGTTGATCTTCATCTAGCAATTTGAAAGTATATGAATAACAACTTCCTCATTGCCATCAGAACTTGATAGCGCAAACTACGCAAAATGGGAAAAGGTTAAGGGAAGAAAAACAAGGCAATCACAAGAACAGATCAATCAAATGCTCTAATCAATGAGATAAAAATTTCAAAAGCACACAAAAATTACATACAGAGAGGAATTTCTTCACGTCCCGTCCAGATGCTATATCCCTCAGAGCTGCAAAGGCATGGTTGATCTCAATCCTCAAAGTGGAGGCAAATTCCAGCAATGGCTTTCCAGGAATACTCACTTCTGGGATGCGAGGATGCGATCTACCAAGAAAACAGAAAACAAAAAAATAAAATAAAAAAAAAACATAAACAAATTAATTAAGACACTAGCAAGACTAAGATCACAAAAATGCACTGCATCGTTCGGCTCACTTGTTGATGAAAGCAGAGGCATTGGACCACAGAAACAAAACAGTGAGCACAAGCATCAGACCATGGCAGACGAAACTTAGTAAGTGGTACTCGAGAACATCAAAGAGAACCCAAATTGCGGTGGCCCCACCGAGCAATCCTGCCGAGACTTTCTTGTTCCTCCATAGAAACACATCGGCAGCTGAACTCCAAGAAAGAATGTTAAGTAAAGAAAAATATTATGAAACAACTCAAAACACTTACTCTTGTGTGCTAATCACATAAACCATTCCTAGTTTCAGCTAAACCATGTTTATGAGCTCCTAGAAAAGAGAACGACTTCCATTGGTTAAAGGAAAAGAACAGTATAACGATGGATAATTTGCCTAATCACATTCCAAACAGATTTAGGATAATTTCATCACAACAGAGCAAATCCAAACATTGAGAAAAACAATTAAAGCCATAAAATCCCACCAATTAACGCATCCATTAATCTCAAAACCTAAAATTCACGCAGGGATATCATAAAATTCATGTTACCAATCAATCC